ACATGGAAGTAGCTGGTATATCTTGGCATGTGCTGGAACCTGCTGGAAGGATTGGATGGTCAGGTGACCTGCTGTGCATGGCTGTGCATGACCTCATATGACCTGATCACCTGACTAGGCTGAGTAAGCAAGATGTTCTAGCAGGTTCCACCACAGAGGTATAAATATAAGGCCTACTCTGCCTGGGGACTGTCTCTTCAGACTTGGTCTCTTAGGATCATCCACAGGTACCTATACTGTAGATAGGTCTTAGTCATCAGGTCTACTCCACTTCCTTGTTGCCTGCTTAGACTCTTGGCACTCTTAGGTGAGCAGACTTAGTCAGCCTGTGTTGCCCTAACAGAGAGGTCTTCACTTGCCAAGTCCTCTTATCATAGTACTTGATTGCCTTTGGTCCATCTTCAAATCCATGATACCTTGTTGGGATCAAGATATCCCACAACCCTGATGGGAGTACAGCTTTATCCCAAAGCAGCTATATCAATAATATCCTGAAGCACTTTTGGATGGAGAATGCCAATCCAGTCTCAACACCACTGGATCTGAATGTCAAGCTTGAGAAGAATACTGGTGCAGCAGTTGATCAACAACAATATGCTACAGCAATTGGTTCTCTCATGTATGCAGCTATCAGCACTTGACCAGACATTGCCTATGCATGTCAGACACTGAGTCAGTACACAGCAAACTCTTTGGCTATGCACTGGACAGCAGTTAAGGATGTGTTATGGTACCTATCTGGAACACACAACTACTCTCTTGTATATGGTGGACCTGGTGAATACACTACAATGTTCACTACCTTTTCTGATGCAGATTGGGCATCTGATCAAGATGATTGAAAGTCTATATCTGGCAACTTGTTTCTTCTTGCTGGAGGCACTATCTCTTGGACCTCCAAGAAACAAACTTTAACTGCTCTTTCAACATGCAAAGCTGAATTCACAGCAGCCAACCTTGCCTCTTGTCACATAGTTTGGCTTCAACAACTTCTATCTAATCTTGGTTTCAGACAAACCAAGCCCAGCATTCTTTACTGTGATAATGAAGCTGCTATTGCTCTCTCTCTGGATCAACAGTTTCATGCAAGGACAAAGCATTTTGACATCCAGAACCATTTCTTTTGAGACAAGGTTGAGGACAAGACACTCATACTTGAGTATTGCCCAATGGCTGAGATGGTAGTGGATGTTCTGACAAAGGCTCTTACAAGGCACAAGTTCATAGGTTTTGTTTCTGACCTTGGCTTAGCTCTGGCCTGAGGGGGAGTGTTGGCATATAGTAGAGGGTGTGCATATCGACACACACCTACAGGTACTGTACAGTACCTGCTTACATAAGCTAGGGACCGGACGGATAGTGCAAACTTTTCGGTCCGGACTAATGCGTCTTGTTTACTACCATTACCTGCCTACACTCCTGGCCCTAATGATTCATGAACTAGTGAAAAGGTCAGCAGCTGTTTCGCCTGTGGTCTGTCCGTATGTTCTCTTTCATTGGGCTTGTGTTAGCACGGTATTTACTCCCCATTGATCGGACACGAGATCGCTAAACGATCGGTGCGATATCAAACAAGCTTTCTGAGAGATACAGTATTGCCCCTAAACCTCTAAAACGGGGAGTCGTTCACTGATCCATCGTTCTCTGAGCGCAAAACATACCCCCCCCTTTGCCGCCCTTGTACGGCCATGAAATGTACGTCACCCCCCAAATACTCTGCAATATTCAAGCTATCTTCGCAAGACTCGAAGGAATCCATCTGGGCTCCGGTTCGGAAGAAGGCTACCTTCCCATTCCATCCCTCCGCCTGTCGTCTCCTTATCACCCATCAACCCATCAACAAGTCATGTCGATCCTCTCATCTCACCGTGCCATACATCCAAACTCTAAGAAAGAACGAGCAAATACGAACACCGTTCTGCCAGATTGACTCGCCGAACATCTTTCTGACCCGCTTTCCGAACATCTATTCTACCTCACCGGGACTAGAGACCTTACATATTTGACCTGACCGATCTCCTGATAATCGTAAGTTCTGCACCGGCGTGGTTGACGGGATATGTGCGCCGGTGACTAACATACTACGATCCAGATTACTAGATTACTAGATTGTTAGTTCCAAGTACACGATGCTACATTTGCGGGATACAAGATGACAATAAGTAGACAGGACGAGAGCCAGATGGTGGTGACATGCACTGTACCTCCATACGAATTTGATTTCACTGGCTCACATCCCCGCCAACGTCTGCATTACCTGCACCTGTGCAAAGGTCAGCTCTCCCCATTCCACTACAATTTCACCAGCCGGACTGACCACCTGCGGCACTGCCGTCAAACCCACGCATGCAACTCCATACAAGACGAACGCCAAACTGCTAATCGCCGCCGCCCTCGGGTTCTCCCCCAGCAGAGCAGCAGTACTGATCGCGCTCGCTGTACAGCCCAGCACGATACCTATGGTTATATAGTCTTCTGGTTTCACCCTTAGGAGGCGGAGCAGGGAGGGTCCGGCAAGGGCACCGAGCACGCCGGTGAGGATACAGAAGATCACTGTTAGGCCGGGATCGCCGTGTAATGAGGCTTCGAGAGGAATCGCCATGGGGGTCGTTACCTGCTCGTGTCCCGTTAGCGGGGCATGAGCGGGGAAGAGGGAGGGCGCACGCTACGAGCCGCGAAGGCGAGGCCGCGGGACGGGGCCAGCTTTAGTGCCCGTCCCACGAGAGGGTAGATAAACAGGCTCAGCACGGCAAGGGGTATTGTTGTGCTGAACATCTCAAACGCATGACATTTCTGTTCCCTGTCAGATAGATGCATCCTCCATCAGAACTCGTATGTTGAACGTACCAGTTCCCCGCGATAGCGGTACATTGGGATTGCGAGACTGACGATACTCGCGTCTAGCATGGAGTATAACACGTCCCCCGCTCCAGGAGGTGCTACCTTCCCCCTCCGCGTAGGGTCAAAGAGCACCAAATACCTACTTCCGGTGCTGTACGCACCCAGGCTCTGCTGGATAGTCCAGCCTCTTACGGCTCCTAGTGCCCAGATCCCGAGCGCCGTGAGGAGGGAGCAGGTGAGGATCGGGTGGAGGAACCGACGGATACGGGCCGGGACGAGGAGGACTGAGAAGAGGAATGAGAGGACGTTCAGGGAGAGGAAGAGGGGGAGGGAAGGGCCGGGGGTGGTGTGCGGGGTCAAGTAGAAGAGGGGCAGGCCGAGGAGGAACATGAGACTATAGAAGAGGGTTGGGAGCCAGGGGGAGAGACGGGCGGCTAGTTGTTGTTCTGCTGTTGGAGGCACAGAGGGGAGTATATTATGGGAGAAGCTGGGCTTGGGAGCGTTGGGGTTGACGTTGGGGTGGGAGTTGGGAGTTGAGGGGACCAGCGTTGCTTGACTTTGACTCCTTGAGAGGGTGCGGGGAGTCCCCTCCCACCGATCCTGACGTAGGTCGTACATGCTCCCTTTCCTACTCCCGCTCAGGGGACTTTCAAGCGCAGCTTCGTCGGCTCCTAAGTCGGGGGTGGAGCGGGAGGGAACACCGTGATGTTTTCTTATCGCAGCAGCTGCAGGGCGGGGGAGAGTAGGAGTGCGGGATAGGGCAGGGGAGGGGGGGACAGGAGTTTCCGTGCGGCCTGGATTGGGAGATGGGAATGAACCGAGAGACATAGAGTGCTCTTCTTGTGCTCGGAAGGTGGAGAGTTCGTATGCCTCTCCCGACGTAGGCTCAGGAGGAGGAGAGTCGGGGATTGGGTCCCCGAGTCCTATCCCGTCGTCTGCGTCTTGGTCTGCTTTCTCGCGGGACTTGAACGGGGAGATGAAAGTGAGCAGGGTCACAATCGCCCATGCTGGCACTGAGATGAGCTCTCTTCTTGGTCCCGTGCCGCACAGTAGAGGAAGGAGGGACGCACCCAGAACAATAAACAGGAAAAAGCTGACAAAGAACAGGAGTACAATCTTGACCAACTCGATGCTCCCTATCGACACGGAGGACTCTTCCACGGGGAGCAGTACAAAACTCGGGCAGAAGAACATCTGCTCATGTCAGCATCAGCGGCTTGGATTTAGTGGAATGGGGAAGGACGCACGGAGATCCATTTCAGGAGGAAGTCACTGGCGGGCTCGAGGTATTGCAGGGGGATGTTGGTGCGTGCTCGACCGAGGGTAGCTGATGAGAGAAGGAGAAGAAAGAAGATGATGAGCATAGACATCACGCTTGCTGGAAAAGAGAATGGAAGTTTGGCTGGGTGGTGTTAGAAGTACGAAAGTAAGGAAGGGACGGGGTCATACAGGTGAAGAGATTTATGCACCAGATAAAGACGAGCATGCTGAGCACTACGAGCGGGATCTGAAGGAATTGCTTGATTAGTCGCTGGCGGGTTTGGGATATGGAGAGGGGGAGTGCGCGGCAGAAGAGGAGGATGCGAGCGAGGATGGAAGTGTCGGACATCGGTCGTTGAGTTGGTGATGAAGGGGGAACTGGGAGTGGAAGAGAGAGAGAGCGTGAGGACATGTTATCTGTTAGAGTGAGTATGGTGAATATCGAGTCATCAGAGTAAACTTACAAAATGTTTCTATTTATGCTGCTAACAGCTAATGCATTCCAGTCAAACGGTGTGAGACCCTGGTGGAGAGCGCCCGACATTGGCCGGTACATTACAGGGTCCGCTCATGTAAGCCTCCACCGGTGTAATAAGCGCTCGTCCGGCATTAGTGCTCAGTCCAACAGGAAACCAATGTTTACAATTCCAAAATGATACAGCCTCTATCTTCCATTACACGCCATCCTCTCACTACCACCCATAAGAACTCCTGATAACACTCAATCATCATCCGCAATTCTCTGCGCCCGTCTCTGTAACGCCGCAGCCAAATCCATCTGCCCTACAGCACCCGCAGGCTTCTTCACCTGCCCTGGCATAGGCGGGGGAGGGGGAGGCTTAGGGATACCTCCCGGTACGGGAGGCTTGGTCGCTACTGGAGGTGCACCTGGTTTAGGGGCAAGAGCGGGCTTGGGCTTGGTTGCTACAGGCGGACCGGGCGCTTTGGGCACTTTGGGCACTGTGGGCACTGTGGGCACTGTGGGTGCCGTTGGTGGCTTGACATGCTTTAACCCTCCGGTTGCTCCGTCTCGCCCTGCTGCGGCAGCTTTAATCGCCGCTGCCGCAGGGGTCATTCCCGATGGCTTGCCTAACCCTCCCCCTGCAGCAGCAGCCTTGATCGCCGCTGCTGCAGGATTCATCCCGCTCGGAAGTCCGTTCTGCGTAGGCATGGCCGGTGCAGGCGGGGGCTTGGGGGCAGCGGGGATATATGCTGCGACTGGAACTGCTTGAGGTGCTGCTGGAGGAGGGCGGCGAGCGGGCGCGGGCGGGGTAGGTGGGGCTTTTGACTTGGGAGGGACAAGTTCGAGGTAGTTGGACGGCGCCCAGCCTTCCTTGCCGTTGAGCTTGACGAGCCACCAGCCTGTCATGGATTAACAGATGTTGCTGTGATGTAGCATTAGGGACGCACCGTTGTCGTCCTTCTCCTCTACCTCGACCAAAGCGCCCTTCTTCAATGACATTTCCCCTTCTTGACCCGTAAAGTCGAACAGCGCCTTATACATCGGCACCTCTGGAGCGGTAGCCACAGGAGGAGGAGGCGGCGGGGGAGGCGGAGCCATCGAGTGTCGCTTGACAGCTGAAGTGCTTGCAGGCTGTGCAGCGGCACTGACAGCTACAGGTATGACAGGCTTGACAGATGCTATAGGAACACTGTGTCCAGGAAGCGCTTGTGGCTTGGGCTTTGATGTGGAGGATGGCTTCGACTGTTCAACATGTCAAAGGACAGCAAGTCACCAAATGCGGGGTACTCACCGAGGGGCCACCAGCCTTGAGCAACTTGCCGGACGTGATCGGACGTACTTGCCCTGGTTTGGGCTTGGGCAGAGGCCGGGGCACTGGAGATGAATCAGACCAGGTAACCTAGAATGGAAAGCATGCGCACCGCTATTGGTTGGTTCGCCAGTGGTAACAGAGACGGTTTGGCTCTTATAGGGATCACCACGCGAGTTTTCATCCTTCACGAACTTGATCACTCGTTTCTTGTCCTTCTTCTGGTTGTACTCGATGGTCGGACCGATGTGGACGTTCATGCTTCCATTGCTGAGCTTGACGAGATCGGCGACAAACTCGGTCTTCAGTACACATGTCATGAGAGGGTCGCCCTCATCCGAGATGGGGCCGTTGAGTGCCTGCAGAGACATAAACACCTCTCCACACAGCATTGCAGAGGCACGCACAAACCAGTCATCCCGCAGGTTCGACAGTGAGACGCTCTTTATCGTAACAAGTGGCATTTTCCGCTGCAACTGTACGACGGGTTGTCCGTCATGAGCGACAGCAGCAAGAATGTACACCGCCTTGTCAGTCTGAAGGATCGTCAGGAGTAAGCACTATCTAAAGTGGAGACTCTGCTTACAAGAACGAGGAATCGAGGAGTAAGCTTGCTAGTGCGCCCAAATTTGGAGATGAGAACTTCTGCACGACAGCTAAAGGCAACAGTCTCGCCAGCTGAGAGCTCTCAGCACATGATGAACAGAACCTGCAGATCGTACTCACATGCAAGACCGGCAGATCCTTTCAACATCAAGGGATCGGCTTTGCCTACATCAAGATAATCGCCCAAGAACTTCCTGCTTCCCAAAATGGACATTCGCCTCCTCTCCTTCCTTCCAGCCAAGATCGTGTTAGCATAATCTCGCGCCTGCGCGTAGACAATGGCCTCCTTGTTGTTCTTCCAGAAGCGCTGGATGCGGCGTGCACACTCGTTCTTGTAACGCCAGTAGTTGCGCCAGGCGCGCTGGATGCGGGCGGCCATGTTGTGCCAGTAGCGATCACGCATAGTCTCTAATGCGAACAGCTGAAAGGGGTGTCAGAGAAGGCGGAGTGAAAGGGGCTCCGAACGCACTGTCTCCGGGTTCTTGATGAATGCTTTCGTGACACCCATCTGCCACTCATCTTTCGCAATACCAGTATCAATTAAGATCTTCTCGCAACCTGATTTGGGATCTCCCTGCCAGATATAGTCACCAGCATAGCTAGTAGCCTTGCTCAACAGATAGAACCGTTCAACAACCTTCTCGAACGTATTTCTGTATGCGAAGCCCGCACGGCGCACGCGAATATTCTCCTGCAAACCGAGGTACTTGATTTGATGGAGCACGGCCTTGACATCATATTCTGACGAACTGCGATTCTGGTTCGGCTTGATCGTGCGAATGTAAGACGGCTGAGCACGCATCAGGTTCTCCACAAGGGCGCTGGCTGATGACTTGATCCTATCACCTGCTGTAGGAGGGCGCTTCTTGCTGTTAGGATCAGGGCGGTCGGGAAATATCGTGTGGAGGAAGGTGTTCCCACTCTTGTCCATGAGGTCCAGTATGTCTTTGACGAGCTGGTCCTTGTTCTTGTCTGTCATACCGGGGATGTTGTACATCACGTCTCCGGCGTAGTGGCGCACGAGGAACTTGTCTCCGCGAGACTCGAAGTGTTGGTTAGATGAGAGCACAGACAGGCGCTGAATGAACGACTGATCAGCAGCAGCGGGATCGGCGTGTGCAGTAGCGCATGCATCGTTGAGCGCGGCGAAGATTCCTGGCGGACGGCGTTCCTCGATCAGGTCGCAGACAACCTTATTGTTGAAGTACTTGATAGGGGTCCATTTGATCTGCTCACGTACGTACTCCTCTTGCTCGGTCTTAAGAGTCAGCTCGATGAAGATCTGCTGGAGCTTTTCGTTGACGTAGTTAATACAAAGCTGTTCGAACGAGTTATCTAACCGGGGGAAGCTTGTCAGATCTGGGCCATGCAGGAAACGGTCACGCACCTTCAAAGATTTCGAAACCGTAGATATCCAGTACACCGATCAGCTGTGAGTGGCTGGTCTGTGGTGCAAGAGAGACGTTGACACGCTGAACGATCCATTCGAACAGGTTGTTGTATAGCGCTTTAGATAATGCATCGCGTCCTGCACTCGCCTGAGCGGGGTTGAGAGGAACCTCGTATACAGAGCCTATATAGATGTCAGGATGGTACTGTTTTTTGGTGCATACACGTACCTCTCCGCCCACCCCTTTGAGTCTCCATGATCTTCTGGATAAGCACCTTCTCAACAGCAGCGCCCTCGCACTGCATCAAGTATCCGATGAAGTCTGTCACACCCTTATCAGCGATGCGCGCGTTGCCATCATCCATCTCCTCAAATTGAACATTCCCGAGCCAGAGAACGATTGCGAGAACGCGGAAGATTTCCGTCTGCTCTTGCTGCGAGAGTCCAATGACACCCATCGCTTTCTAGAGATAGGATGATCTGAGCGAATGTTCATACACGGTAACCGTGAGGTACATACAATAGTGTCTGCAAAATCCTTCACGTCATTAATGCCTTGTACATCGAGGCATTTACTTCGGCTGGTATAGACATACGACTCAGGCCCTTGCAAACCGAACATTTCTGAAAGAGCAGTAAATCTCCGGTCAATCGCTTGTCAATGCTAAACCGACCTCGTTGCTCATCGCTTGCTCCCTTCGTGAACTGATAGAAAATATGAAAATCACGCTCGTTATCGATCTGCCCAACAACTCGGCCCTTCTCCAGCAAGTAGTTTGTGATTTGCGCTCCGACAGGTTCTCCTCTCTCGTTGAACATGATCTCGAGATACTTTCCCTGTAATCAGGTTAGTATATGCGCCGCATATTACTGGATGGAAGGCACGCACATGTCGACTGCTGTTATTGTTCCTTAATGTCTTCGCACACCCGAAGCTCTCCAGCAACGGATTCGTAGCAAGAACCATCTCCTTAATCTCCCCAATCCGTTGTCCTCCATCCGCGCCCTCTCCTGTTCCAGAAACAGCGGCGATATATGCCATGATCTGCTTCGCTGCCTCGGTCTTGCCAGCGCCTGACTCGCCGGTGATGATCACGCATTGATTCTCCTTGTATGCGCTCATGTTGTAGTAGGCAGATTCGGCAATGGCGAAGACGTGAGGTGGCATCTCTAGCCGATTCTTGCCCTTGTACGACTGGAGGACATCCTTCGTATAGATACCCAAGTCTGGATACCCGTCAGAAACGGTAGATACGACAGCCACAAATTAAACATACCTCGGAATGGATTAACAGAGATCAGTACGGCACCAATATATGTGTAGATCTCGCCGTTTAGCCATCTCTTTTGTAGGTTCTCGTTCACGGCCTCATTCGAGATGGTCGTCAACAGGGTCATGTCGCTGACTCCTGTCTGCTTCTTCTTGAATCCTTCCTTCCAGTCTGCCTACAGATAGAATAAGCATGTGTTTCACCCACGAAGAAGGCCGAACATACCTTGACGAACTGCTGCCCAGCTGTCTTCTTCACGGGTTTCGCAACGGTTGGCGCGACGCCGCCCTTCTTCCCCGACTTCTTGCTAATCGCCTGTCCAACGATCAGAACCATTCCAACAACGACACACACACATACGCACCATGGTGAAGATCGATTAGCTTAATCGCAAAGGTATAAAATAGAGAACAAGAACAAGACAGAGGTTGCTGTGCTTACACTGGGCCGGAGTTGTGTGCCGACCGAGCGGGACCAGACGTCACTGTGTGTGTACATGTACCTTGGGCCCATTGATGGTGGCGATACATTCTTTGTTAAGACCACCATCTTGCCCTGTATGGGAATCAAGTGGCTGCGATGCTCTTCGATGACTAGATTTGATCCGGTCTTTCCCAGCTTTACTTTGGACTCGTTCTGCGTTCTTTGTGACGAGCAATGGATTAGGAGAAGCATTCAATGTAACCGCACGCCTGAGAGCGTTTGACTGGTGACATGTCACGTTTCAATCGTGTAACTTGTCAGAACAGCTTCTCACAACTCCCTTTCCTTGAGCATTCTTGTTGCTCGCTGAAGCTCCGTCGATGTTCAGGCTGTCGACACGTTCGAACCTCGGCATTTCAGGTCTCAAGACATCCCCATCTTCAGTTATAGGATCGTCTCCAGATCTTTCCCAGTCAACCCGTCGAAGCGCAAGACATGACACGAGCACGTCCCAACGGTCGAATCCAGTATGATCCATATTGTTTTTGATTTCGATCGCCTCCTTTGGTGTATTCTGTTTATTCAAGGCAGAGCGCGCCCAGTATACATTTGTTGTCACGCCCGGCGTTCCTCAGACGAGATCAGCCAGTCCTTCCTACATTGCATGTAGACGTCGCACTTGTGGAAGATGGCGGAAGCACCCCAGGAATTTATTTCGATAATTGAGCGTCACCACTGACGCTATTCAAGATGAAGTACACGATCCATTATCGAGGCAACGTTCAAGGCTACACCGTCTGATGAGCATAACACCATTCTAAATAGAGGTATTCAGTTTGCTCAGACCCCTGCAATAAGCTCTTGTCTCCGCGACGTCCGAACTGGATTACTTCTCTCAGTCCAAATATTCTTGTAGCTCAAGATCAGAAGGCTGCTGACCATTTGTAACAGACTTACCCCCTACTAACCCTGTACTACTTCAAAATTAATGGTTGAATCTAATAATATGCATTTCGATATCTCTTCCCCAGGCTGGGACAACTTTAGGCCGAGGGTCGGCATTGACCCTGGTCGACCCTCAGTCGGACCTCGCTCCGACTTTGATTCGGACCGTCCACCCACATGATATTGTCCACCTCATCCACTCAATGCCTACCTCTCTGCGTCCTCTTTCTGCAACGTCCATCTTGGTCAACGTCTGCCAATCAACAGTAACAAGAGATGTCGAAAGGTAACCAGATCCTGCACACCTTTGGCGAGCGCGACTTTGTTGGTGAGGCACTCTTCTCGCCCTGCAAGGACAGGATCAAGAAGATCGAGTACTTTCGCGTGCCGCCTCGCTGGATGTTCGTGCGTATTGAGAGCACTGGAGGGTATGTTGGGTGGGGTGAAGCGACGCTCGAGTGGTACGTCTTGCTTTCGACCTCCACTCACATCTCGCTCATTCTTCCAAGTCACGACGAGGCAGTAGAGGGTGCACTGTCGCATCTCATCCGTCTGTACACCGGATGGCCGACGGACAACATCGAAGATCTCTGGTGCGCTGCATTCGTCCATCATCGACCAGGCTGACACGTTCCCAGGCAAGCCGCGTACAGGACCGGCTTCTACCGCGGCGGGGAAGTACTCATGTCCGCGATCGCGGGCATTGACATCGCCCTGTGGGACCTCAAAGGCAAACGGCTCGGGGTACCGGTATGGAGTCTTCTGGGAGGACTCGTACGTGAGCGTGTTCAGGTCTATGTGCGGTTATATCTCAGTTTTATCCGAACCGTTCGTTAACTGTCACAAGTGCTGGATTGGGGGCGATCGCCCAGACGATGTCGCAGCGCAGGCAATTGAGAAGAAGCAGGCTGGCTTCAAGGCAGTCAAGATGAATGCAACAGAAGCTCTGGCGCGCCTCGACTCTCCCGCCAAGCTACAAGCGAGCGTTGACCGGCTCAAGGCAGTAAGAGCTCAGGGTTTGGATGCTGGGGTGGACTTTCATGGCCGTGTGCGAGGAACTACGACTACAAGCCTTCCTTCAATGACTGACACCCTTTTCAGGTTCACCGCCCGATGGCAAAGCAGCTAGCTACCCTGTTGGAACCACATGGACCGCTCTTCATTGAAGAGCCACTCCTTCCTGGCTTCATCCCGGAGATCGCTGCAATCGCTCGTCACACCAGTGTACCCATCGCCCTCGGCGAACGCCTCTTTACGCGGCAAGATTTCCGCCCCTACCTCGAGCAAGGCGCAGTCGACATCGTCCAGCCTGACGTAAGCCACGCGGGCGGAATCAGCGAGACGCGGAGGATCGCCATCCTTGCGGAGGCCTTTGACGTCGGGTTTGCGCCGCATTGCCCGAACGGACCTATCGCGCTGGCGGCGAGTATCGCGATGGATCTTACTGTTCCTAATGTGAGTACCGCGACACTCTCTTAAGTCGTACTTATGCTTATGCGCTGCGTAGTTCGTCATCCAGGAGATGTCCTGGAAGATCCACTATAACGTTGGTGCTGACCTCCTCACCTACGTCAAGAACCCCGACGTGTTCAAGGTCGTGGACGGGATGATCAAGGCCCCCCTCGGTTCCGGGCTAGGCGTCGAGATCGACGAAGAGCTGGTGAGGAAGGTGTCGAAGGATCATAAGCCTTGGGAGGGCAGTTTCTGGAGGGGAGACGACGGTGCTGTTTGGGAATGGTAGATAAGGGGCAATTAAATACGACTACGACTATAGCGACTGTATAAAGTACATCAATATGGATTCTATCAATACATACCACGCTTAAGCGCGTCCTGCGAGTTCCCGCTCCTTCTCGAACAGCACCTTCGCCATATCCGTAACAGACTTCTTCAACGGCGTCCACTCAATAGCAAAATCACGCTCAACCTTGGTCGTGTCTATTTCGTAATGTGCTGCTGGTTCCCGATATGGGCCCTTAGCAGCACGGGAAGCGTGCTCTGGGTATGCCTTTTTGAAGGGGTAGACGATGTCTTCGTTCCATGCACTTTCGCCAGCTACGAGATACCGCTGATTCTTAGCTTTGGGGTTGACGAGCGCGTCGGCGTGTAGCTGCGCCCTTCCCACCGTGAGCGTCAGCATCTATCCTCGGCCAGAGTAATTGGACTCATAAATCCCGGACGTCGACCAGGAGGGGCAACACAGTCGGCGGGATCACGCTTTCGCCCTTGGAAATCATGTTCCATACATATGCGGCCGACTTGTCAAGCGTTTCCAAGCTCTCTATCGGCTGCATCAGTGAGCCGAATATCCAGGGTGGGCAGAAAGTCGTTATCCCGAAATGGGGTTTATGCTGCTCCACGTACTCTCATGCAGCGCGTTCCGCAAACAACTTTGATGCGCGGTAGACGAACCGCGGGTCAGGAGAGCTGGCAGCTTCTTCCCATGTCACTGGGTTCCAGGTGTTCTCGGTGTAGACTAGCCCGGCTCCGAGCCGGTTGTTCATGTTACTGACGGCGGCCTGGCTGCTCGTGATGACGACGTGCTTGATAGCCGGACGCTGAGAGGCCACGCGCAGGATCGTGAGTGTTCTATCTACAGCTGGCTTCAAACAGTCTTTAACGTTGTCCCGGAAATCGAGCGTGAATGGAGACGCAGTATGGACGATATAGTCCACGTCGGCGGTCTCTTCCAGGAAGGCGAATTCGTCTGTAAGGTCGGAAATAACGCAAAAGTGAAGGTTGTTTCCATGCTGAGGATACTGGCGGAGGAAGGCGTCTGCTTTTTCTTGGGAGGTCTGCTCACCATTAGTGGGGGCTGAAGCGCTACAAGCAAATAGAGAGACGCACCACAACACCTTTGACTCTGAAGCCTCGGGCAAGCAGTTCCAGCACAACGGCAGCTCCAAGAAACCCGTTAGCGCCCGTGACAAGAACCGTAGTTTCCAGATTCATGTTCTCGCTGCGGGAAATCCAGTTTTTTTCTCGCAGGAGTCTGGTCCGTCCATACTTATACATTTCCAGCCGCAGTCGCTGGCCGGTCATCCGGGCTACCAGACACAGCATGCAACTCCTTGTCAGAGATTAGAGAGCCGAGGATGGGCAAATGCTCAAAGGCATCAGCGCAGTTGTCAGATCCTGGAGGGGGCTGCCGAGCTCATGAGTGTACCACCTAGCCGTCCCCCGTTTGGGGAAAGGAGATGTAATTTCGGAGATAAGCAGTGCGAAAGCATCAAACTCTGATTCCAATAAGGTCATTATCGGCTTTGATATAACAGGATATTGAATCGGCTGGATCGTCCCACGAGGTGGAGCGTGGGGGGTTCATGAGCCCTCCGAAAGGTAGGGGGATGGACATTTGTGTGAGATGGAGATTCGCACACAGGTGGACAGGCGGATGACAAAGCGCATTCTACTAACGTTGTCAAGGGTGGTATTCCCGTGCCCACCATGGGTATGCATAGATGGATTTGTCAAGAGAGAAAAGCTAGCGTCGTCAGACCTGTATTCTTCCCCTTGGTACTGCCTGCGTAGATGTTGTCAGCCGAGGAGTTGCGTACTAGTACTGGTGTAGAGAAGGGGAAGTTGAAGAGCGGTGTGAGAAGGATTTCCCGTGACAAATTCCGCTGACTGGTCAGGGTCTTCTCAGAAATTCGGCACCGCGTCAACCGCGTGCCACGTGAGGTCAACAATCAACGGAAAACGGACCGTCCTCCCCATCTCCCGTCTTCATTCTGTACAGTACAGCAACGATGAAAGCGCACAGCGGCGACCTATACCCCATGTCTATGTCCGCCTCACCATCAATGCTCCTCACCGCTCTGCTGGGATTCATCATCTCCGGCATACTTATCGTCGTGCGACGACATGACTGGAATCGGAAAAAGAGTGTCAAGTTTGAGTGGGCTGCTCCTGAGGTGCGTTTGCGAGCCTACCCTATGCGTATGCGTGTGATGCGTGGGAGTGGGAGGCTGGTGGGATGGGAGCCGTGGCTGACGGAGAACAGCAATCGTTTTTGAACTACGAAGGGACGACCATCCTGAACCCCACTCTGAAGAGTCATCTTGAGGACCCAGCTCTCCTGCCTGCAGAGCACGAACCTGGGGTAGAGTACATGTACGCCCCCCCGCGTCCCTCCCTCCCTCCCACCCTCCATCCGTCTCCCCTACTAACGACGGGAAACGACAGAACCTGCTTCGACCCCTCCACCTCCCTACACATCAGCACCCTCCCCTCACTCAACCAACTCCAAATAGCAGAACGTATCTCCCTCGCCCGGGAGTCCCAGCGCACCTGGTCACAGAGCACGTTCGACCAAAGACGGAGAGTGATGCGGAGCTTGCTTGCTTGGGTGTTGGAGAATAGCGAGGGGATCGCTAGGGTCGCGTGTCGTGATACGGGCAAGACGAGTGCGTGATCCGAGGGAAGCGAAGCAATGTGGGCTGATGGATGCCCCCGGCGCCGGGGGGAACAGTGATCGACGCTGCTTTTGGGGAGATCCTGACTACGTGCGCTAAGCTGGAATGGGTAATCAAGTATGGGGAAAAGGAGCTGCGGCCGTCGAGGAGACGTGTTCCCCTGCTGTTGATGCACAAAAAGGCCCATGTGGGTACTTGCATTCCCGAGTGCGTGTGTATGCTCAACTCTGCAGGTCTATTACGAGCCGAAAGGGGTTGTCGCCGCTGTCGTTTCCTGGAACTATCGTGCGCCCTCTCTTTCCCCTCTCCAGCTTCTGGTCAGCCTACTGACCCCGCAGGGCACAGCGATCCACAACGCCCTAGGACCAATCATCGCCGCTCTCTTCGCAGGCAACGCCATCCTACTCAAAGCGAGCGAGCAAGTCGCCTGGTCCTCAACCTGGGTGATCGGTGCCGTCCGTCAATGCCTACAAGCGTGCGGGCACGATCCGGATGTCGTACAGCTCGTGCTCGCCTATCCGGAAACGGTGGAGACGCTTACCCGGAGTCCGGTCGTGAGGCATATTACGTTTATAGGGAGTGAGGAGGTGGGAAGGAAGGTGCTGATCGCTGCTGCGGATAACTTGACACCTGTGACTTTGGAACTTGGAGGTGCGCGTCTTCCCCGTACGTATGCTGGTACGAAGGGATTAATAGGAAATAGGAAAGGACGCGGCGATCCTCCTCCCTAGTGCGGACCTGAAAGCGTTCAGCTCCCACTGGATGCGTGGTGTCTTGTGCGTCTCCCTTCCCCCCTTCCCCTCTTGCACCCACTAATCACACCACAGCCAATCCATGGGCCAAAACTGTATCGGTATCGAACGCTTCATCGTCCACTCAAGCATCTACGACCAGTTCCTCTCGCTCATGCTAGATCGAGTCCGCAAGCTGCGTATGGGGAGCGTGCTCAACTCGACCCCCGAAGGCTGGGTATCGACCATTGATGTCGGTTCTCTCATCTCGCACGCGCATGCTGAGCGTATAGCCCGCATAGTGGCTCGCGCAAGGGAAGAAGGCGCGGAGGTCCTCACTGGGGGGAACGTCGTTTCCCACCCTTACGCACCAGGAGGGGCATGGTTCGAGCCTACAGTGATCGCCAACGTTACGGAAGAGATGGATATCGCTAGACTGGAAGTGTTCGGCCCTGTGATGGTAGTGATGAGGTATGAGGGTGGGTGGGAGGAGGCGGTGAGGTTGGCGAACGGGTGTACGTATGGACTGGGAGCGAGCGTCTTTGGGAACGATAGGAGGGAATGTGAGAGGGTGGTGAGGGCGTTGAGGTGCGGGATGGTCGCTGTGAATGATTTCGGGGTGTTCTACGTGCGTGCATTGCGCTACGCTCTGTTACCTGGCTGACTTGTTTACTTGTTGGCAGCTGAATCAAGACCTTCCCTTCGGAGGAGTGAAATCAAGCGGATTCGGCCGTTTCTCCGGTCCAGAAGGTCTTCAATCCCTATGCGACCCCAAATCCGTAATCCAAGACCGGTACTTCTCCTGGATCAGGACGCCTATCCCTCGGGCGGTGGACTATCCCATTAGGAGTCTGGTCAGCAGCTGGGAGTTTGTGGCTGGGTTGGGGGAGGCGGTTTGGGGTGAAGGGTGGGCTGAGAGGGTGGGAGGGGTGTGGAGGTTGGTTAAGGCTTAGGGGTCGTGAGCAGGAGGGAGGGTATCGAGCGATTGGAAGTGTGACTAGGTAAGGAGTGCGTCACCGTTTCGTGTCAAGTGAAGTGAAATGGCGGTATGGACGGTCATGCTAAGAAGTAGAAGTTCGCGTGGAAGTGGAAGGGAAGGTTTGGTGGAAGTGTGTATGACGACAATGACGTCTAATATTTTGGATGTTATTGGTGATCGGGTACTGTCCATCGGTGCATTGAGACATTAGTACTCGTACTGATTATTGGGATTACCGTTCGTGTATATACCCTTCTCTGTTACGTGGATAAGATAGAACCCATTCACTCACTTCACTCACGCACACCACCAACATGCCGGGTCAAATCGGGCACAACAACAGATTGCCTCCGTGAGTTACACAAGCAGTGACGTCATGGGATCACGAACTTCTGCCATGAGTGTCTCTGCGTTTCCCTCAAATTTTGCCTATCAACACAGGCACTGGGAAAAGGCAGGGTAGCAGCCTAGAAGGGAAGGGAGGGAGGGACCCTCGATTTCCCACCTGCGCTCGAGGTATAGGATCGAAATTCGGATCGGATTGTACTCGGTCAGCAGTTCATGAAGTGCGGTGCGGCTCGGCACCACTGGGTTTCCCTTTCTGGCAGCTGGGGGGATGGGATGGGGTCGTTGCTGGCAACTAGAGACGGCCGGGTGCCGCTATCGGCCGCGAGGAAGGTGGATGCCGTTGGCTTACATACCGGGGGTTGCGGCTACTGGAGGGTACGTGATGTGCTGGTTCTGGAAGAAGAAGTAGGGAGAGGGAAGCGGGAAGGTGGGAAGGTGGAAATATGGGAGTTCGAAGATGGGGCGATTATTAATGGGAGTGGGAAGGGGGGAGAACGGGGATTGAGGGGAGATGAGAGGGTGTAAAGGATGGCAGGGATGGATGTCATCATACACCTTTTGTCAGTGTGAGAAAGGACGTCACTGTTCATGTCTGTTAATCCGCTTCCCTGACTGATCGAGGGATCGAAGTTTTGATGAGACTTGTCGATGTGAGACAGTCACTCATTCTCTTCCTTCATTACCGAATTAGGGCACCGATCGGGTCATTCAACGGCAAGGGGGGAGGCGATGGGGGGGTATAAAGAGGCAGCAGCGCCCCCAGTTTCATTCGTCACTCATCTCTCTTTCCTCCCCCCTCACACACACCCAATGGCACCCATCTCAACCGCATCAATGACAGGCACAAACGGTCTCCTTCTCCCTCAGGCACAGGGAATGCCCAGCAAGCCCCCTACATCAGTCATCCCTTCCAACCCTCCAAAACAGACCACTCTCTCCCTAGGCGAGCTCCCTCCTCGTCCACAGCACTTCACCCACTCTCCAGGTAAACAACCCCGCACTCCCTCCCGTATCGACCCTAACAACCCTCCCTGGCCCGCTTACCGCGGGTACCACGAGTTCTCCTTTGCCCACGCGACGATGGGCCACCGCTTGCCTACCATACTCGGCAAGGCGATCGACGACGTCGTGCGTACCCTCAATGAGCAGAGTGACGAGGACCGCATCGTCGATCTCGTCGAGGCTATATCGAGGATGCAGGATCTGATGGTCGACCTGACTGGAAACACGAAGCTGCGCCCGATAATCGATGATGGAGAAGGAGATATCCCTCTCTGGAATAAGGAGATCGCACAGTTCTTCCAGGGGAAGGATTTCATGAATGCTCCATGGCTGTTTGCGGAGGCGTACAAGTATAGGAGGCTGCATGAGTGCTTCAGTATAAGCAAGTACTGGAAGGAGTACGATGTGTTCTTTCGCCAGAAGGTGAGTGCATCTGCTTGCGGGTGTGTATGGGCAACTGACACGAATGCTAGTGCGACACGTTCTCCCGCTCGAGCAAGGCCGTGTTTGAGCTCTCCACAAGGTTTGCTAAGCCTTGGGAAACGCCGGCGAAGGGCTTGGACGAGGCAAAGCAGACGGAAGCGGTCCGCTTGATGTTCCATGAGCTTACCCAGGTCTGCCTCTGGGGGAACTCGACCGACCTTTCTTTGCTTATTAACGTGAGCCCTGCGCGTATTCGCATGTATGAGCCTTGCTAACCTCTTCACCCAACAGATGACCGAAGAGGACATCAAGAAGCTCCAGTCTACAGGTGGGGACCATCTCGCCGCCACGGAGAAGAACATCCTCGGGAACGACCTTCCCCGACTATGGGAGACCGTCAAGCGGATCGGAGCCAAGCCCGACGGCCGCATCGATTTCGTACTCGACAATGCCGGGTTCGAGCTGTACTGCGACTGTGTCTACGCTGACTGGCTCATCCAGTCCGGCCTGGCGAAACAGATCCGGTTCCACGGAAAGCGCTTTGCCTGGTTCGTCAGTGACGTCACGCGCAAAGACTGGGACTGGTTGTTGAATACTATGATCTATGGCCAGCTGTTCCCCGAAGCGTCAGACGAGGAGATGGACACTCTCCGCCTGCTTGGTAACCGGTGGAAGCAGTACGAGAGAGACGGGAAATGGATATACGAGCAACACCCGTTTTGGTGCACGGGCTACACCTACTGGGACCTGGCGACCGAGGCGCCGGACGTATTCCTCCATCTGTCAAAATCGGATCTCGTTATCTTCAAAGGAGACCTGAACCACCGCAAGCTGACATACGACTGCGAGGCTCCTCCAGCCACTCCCTTCCCGATTGCTATAGGTCCTATGGCCTCTCTACCAGGAGCACCGCCTGTCTGTTCACTGCGCACGATCAAGAGCGATGTTGTTGTGGGCATTCCGGAAGAGGTTGCGGATAGGCTGAATAGGGACGAGGACGGGTGGAAAATTAGTGGCAAGTATGCGGTTGTGCTCTTGTCGGACGGGAGACCGGGGGAGAAGGTGATGTTTGGAGCGCTGGGGAGGGGGGCGTTCCAATATTAGCTGGATGCAGTCAGGGAGCTCATAGCTGAAAATTGTACGTATATGCGTGCATATGCGTACTTCCGTCATGTCCTGTGATACCTACTCTTGTCTTCTCTTGTCCCCCTCGTCTCTCTCACCCGCCCTTTATCCGCGTTGTAGCCCCTTCCCTCAAAAGAATTCCCTCAAAGAGGAAGTATGCGGGAAAATGTAGCATAGCTTTGTAGCATGTTGCAACAGAACGCGTCGTATTGCTACATGTTTTCTTGGGATGGAATTATTTATTTATTGTCCCCAACTAGGTGATACGTGTGCATAGACTTGCCAGACAAAAGTTAGGCGCTAGCGGTCTAAGGAATATATACACGCACCGAATGACGGTCAGTCGTCCCTGTACTTACCGCTCCTCTTTCTCTCTCTTGTTTCTCTCGGCATGGCTCCCAATCCCCTCTTCAAACCACCACCCCCCAGGCACCTACCACACCAGACAAGGGAATCGCGAACACCACCTCGAACTCCAAATTCACACGTTCAACGTTTAGGTTGAAGGCAAGCGAGGTCATGTTCGAGTCCATCCGTCTCCTGCTCATCCCGAACGAACGTATGGAGTCGACCTTACCCTTGCCCGAATGCGTAGCTGCATTGGTAGAGCAGCTGTCGGATAGTCATCCATTTCTCAGAGGTAAGGAATGGGACCTTCCACGCTTACTAGTTACGGAAGGTGGGACATCGATTGTGGGCAGGGAAGTTTTTGAAGCTTATGTCGCTCTACACGCGGTGGTCGTCCAGACCTGTGAGAGGTGGCCAGGAAGCTCAGAGGGGCGACCTCTGCTCCGGCCGAAAAATACCAACTCCACCCTGAAGGACTCAACCAGACCTGATGGAGGGAATCCGAAGGACGGGGACAGGTCTCTCATGATCGACTGGGACGGGGAGCGGTACGTGTGGGTCGACCTGTTTTCGGCGTACGACAAGAATGCGAATGTGAAGGATCTGGGTGGGCTCATGGGTATCAAGGTGCGCCGAACTGGGTTCACCGGTTTCCCAATTGAACGTCTGACATGTTGTCCAGAACACCAAGCAAATCATCTGGGACCTGCAACATATGTTGTGGGAGAATGTCAATCGTCGGTTCGCGGTCGGTATGACCATTGAGCAAACAGAAGCGCGTCTGTGGGTAGCGACTCGCTCCGCGATGCTCGTCAGCATGGGGTTTGACACGCAGATGGTGCGTACTTGTCGCACAACGCGCGAACGTAGCGTTGATTGCAAATACAGGAACGCAAACGCCTATTCCGGACATTTGCCTTCTTCGCGTTCGCGGATCAAACCGCACTCGGTCTGGACCCAACAATGAGAATGCCGAAAGGCGCAGACTTCTTCCTCGTCAACATTGACGGGAAGCGGTATCAAGTTCGGAAAAGGCCAATCGCGGATCACCGAGCGCGCGCGCTGCACGGGAGTGCGTGTCGTGTCTATGAAGCATGGCTCGTCAATGACGACGCCAATCGGCCGCCAAAAACCGATGTCACTGATCTGGAGCGGGCTAAGAGGGTGGCGATCAAAGAGGTTTGGCGATCTACGATCGGGCGATGAAGGCGATCAAGGAGATCGAGAAGAGCAGACCCGAAAAATTGAAGCTGCGCCCTGGCGAGAACGCTGAGAACTACTTCGTCAACATCAGCGGTGATGAAGAAGTGATGGTCAATGGAGTCCGTGATGATACAGCAGGGATCATGGGTGGTAAACAGTTTCCGAAAGGAACAGTTTGGATCAAGACGGCACGTGGGGCGCAGACGGGAACGGACGACACGACCGGAACGTTAAGTCCCATTGTGCAAAATTCCGACGGGGGTGAAGGCAGGAAGGAAATGTCGTTGAAAGGGAAGAGCAGGGAAGTACCAGTCAGTCAGCACATCCCAACACATCAAGTCACCCTAACGGGACGTACCGCGTCAGCTGCCACAAAGGCACCGAACCCGTACAATCTGCGCCAAATCCACCACCGTGTCCATTATCGAACAGTGATGGACAACATTGGAGAACCGTTGCACCACATCGCGAGGTTAGATATCGCATTCAAAGCGCTGGCTGATGTCGTCCAGGGTCGGTGTCGTCTTTGCAGGATTGCTTCATTTGTGGCTGATATGCTTTGCAGCATGCAAAATGATGTGCATTGCCGGCTTCAACCATCGTGATCTATCTGCAGGCAATATCATCGTTGATGCAAAGGAGGAACGAGGGCGGCTCAGTGATCTGGAATTTGCGAAGATTCATACGAGTGACGGAGCTGGGCACCATGTGCGGACTGTACGTGCCGTTCGCAGCGTCTTTATGCATCAGGCTTGTTAATCCCTTGACATCGCAGGGGACTCCCGATTTTATGGCGGTGGAGGTGCTCCGTGGCTTTTATATGTTCGACCCCAATGAACCCGAGGATGGGGACAAGGACTTTCCATTGCGCCATAACGCTGGTCATGATCTCGAGTCAATCTTTTGGATCGCTATCTTCATGTTGTACAACTCGGAGGTGGACGACGAGGACCCCGGGAAGCACGCCATGGAGCAAAGGAAGAGACGAGATGAAATCTTCTCTAAATACCGAAGGGTGGCCTTCGGTGCAGGCAACCAGCTCTGCTACAAAATGGCTGAACATTTCGATGGTCCTGGTCGCAGATCAATCATGTATTTGTTGGATATGCAAAATTCGCTGATAGACGCGTACCAGACATTTGAAGCAGCTCTGAGCGACACGGATCGCGGGAAGGAACGCAACACAGAGTTTCTTGAGGTACACGACGAGTTTGGGAAACCATTGATAGAAATGAGCAAACTTTTCAAGGGGAAGAAGTGCGAAAGAGTGGACGATATTCTCCGGGCGAACCAACGCAAACTAAAGCCGACGGAATTGAACCACGAGGTAGGTACAGTAGTTAGTCCAGGTGACTTATGACACACCTGAACCACTCTATGCAATTCTCTGCATATATCAAACACGATATCTGAAATAACTATACCCTACCTACAAATGCACTGGAATCGAGGGCCAGTTAACAATCCTCCCCACCTCTTGAACGGATGTTGGGTGGAGTGAGCCAGGGTTATGGCATATCAACCTAGCCCAGTGACGAACAGACGGCGAGATGTTGTCTTTTGACACCTTGACGTAGTGAACACCTTTTGCAGTAGGCGTGCCGGTCAAAGAGGTGTCTGTGGCAAGTCGGGCAGGCATGGTGAATACGGCGGTGAGGGAGTAATGAGAAGCCAAGCGGTTGCACTGCTTCGCGTCGCGTCCTTCTGCACCAGACCCCCCTAACTTTTAACAGGGTCCATTAGGACCCTTTTCCTCGCGTGCCCAAAATCCAGCAGAGGGGTATGCTGCAGCCAATGTTGCACCACTCATGCAGGATGTTGGGTGAAAACAGCCAATATTGCATGTCAATGATGCATGGGTCATTCAAACAAAATATATCAGGCTTTCAAGACTTGTTGGCAGCCAGCATACATGTGTTCCAACAGTCCTGCACCTGCAGCACAACCCAAGTTAATGCACTTCCTTTACCACATATGCTGCAGTGGTCAATGACAAATGCTGTGGTAGGGCACTGCCACAACGGTGGAAGCATTTTCCGTGCCAGGGTCTGCAGAAGCTCTTTGTAAATTGCTTCCTTGGACCCTTGGATAGAGGTGCAGCAGCAACAACCACACCAGTGTTGCAGTGTCTGATCCTTTGCACTGAATACAACTGCAGGTACATAGAGGAATGTCTAGACATCCTATTGGCTTCCATACCAATCACATACTTGTAAGTGCTGTCATGCTGCAGTTATTGTGGTGAAAGATTATTAGCCAAGCATGGACATGTGTTGCAGGGTTCTATGCCACAGCTGGCTGGTGGCATGATGCAGCACATAACCAAATATGGCTGCAGCCACCTTGGGGGAGCATCACCCTTCAATTCCAAGATTTCAATACCAACTGTTCTTGCACAGCAGCAGCTATGGAGGCAATGCCACACTGGCCCTGCAGAAAGAAGTGCCATGGCTATGCATGTCACAGGGAGGCTGCAGTGTAGTACAGCATGCAAACCAATTGCAGCTGCAGCCCCCTTTGGGCATCCATGGCTCTGCAACCTGAACTTCTCAAGCCCAGTCTGATCCTTGTCTCTCTGCCAGCTGCAGCTTCCAGTGAAATACAGTACTTGGCAAGCACAACCTAATGCAGCAGCTACACATATGGCAGGCAGGCTGCAGCATGGTGCAGCATGCAAACCAATTGCAGCTGCAGCCCCCTTTGGGCATCCATGGCTCTGCCACCTGAACTTCTCAAGCCCAGTCTGATCCTTGTCTCTTTCCCAGCTGCAGCTTCCAATGGAATACAGTACTTGGCAAGCACAACCCAATGCAGCAGCTACACATATGACAGGCAGGCTGCAGCATGGTGCAGCACACAAATCAAGTGCAGCTGCAATTGAACAAAATCCAGGTGCAGCCTCCATGGGGCTTGTCCAGCATCACAATGATCCATTTCAAATTTTCACTGTCATATTTAACTTGTCCAGGGCCAACACTTCAAGCATGTTTTGAGCTTGAAGAGGCTGCTCATGATGCATGGGACTTGCAATGATTCAAGTAGCAGGGCCCAAACATATGGGACACCCCCTGGACCTTGCTGCAGCATCCACCAAAAACACAGCTACATCTGGCATGGGGGATGCTTGGCACTTATATTGACATCAGTCCAGAGCAGGATGCACTTCTTCTTTTGACATGCAGTTGGTGAACCAATGGTCTTGCCATGGTTGACATGCCATTGCAGCCACAGGTGGGGCAGGGATGCTGCAGCACATGGCCAAAATATGGTCAGCCATTCCAAGGAAAGTGTGCCCATCATGCAGCCATCCATTGCAGTCTTCTATTCAAATTCTGTCCCCTGTGTTCTTAGAACTTGTGGATATGTAGTGCTGTCCATGTGGAAGACAACATTGCTGCAATGCGTGTGATTGTTTGGCTGCTGGATTGTCCATACTAGTAAAATGGGGTTTCAGTGACCACAGGCAGTGTGGAGCATCAGGATCTACCTCTATGTTGGCTGGGCATTTGTGTGGATTAATGGAAAAGATGGTGCTGAATGAACCTACTTCACCAGGAACTGGGAGGCTGCAGCAACCTGCTGCAGTGTTCAAGTGAGGAGTGATTCAATTCTGATGGCACAGCAGATGAAAGTACCTGTCAGGGCACCAGCTCATTGCTTGGTCAGGAGACATGACTAAGCCTTTATGACATGGAA